TGTAGTTTAATGTAGTCTTTTCTTTCTTTTACTGTCTGTATTTAGAACATTCTATGCGCTGCCCATGTAAACTCTTTAAACAACTCACTTTCGAAACTCGACTATAATAACTCGTGAGCATGTAAATAAGTTAGAATTCTTTTTCTTTCGTTATAGAGACAAACGAAATAGAAAACATAGTCACTATAGGTCAATCCTTTTAAAACAAAAATGAGGCATGCCTTGCCAAATAAAAATGCAAATTGCGGGGCCCTCAATAATTGGTCATAATAAAATACTTAGAATTTGGGATGGTCCGTTTAGCGAATTTTTACGGCCTTCCTCAAAGATAATAACGCGTTAGACTTTTAGGCGCGATTTTTAATTAAATAACATTCTTCAATTCTGGTGCGCATTTATGCGACCTAAATCCAAATCTCAACGAAATCGGAATGTATTAACAACCACGGGTGCATTGATTGCGACGTGGTTCGAGATGCATTTTTATGACGTTGCAATTCCATAAAAAAAATAATAATAAAAGCGGTTTAAACCTAATAAAAGCACACAAGTTATAACATGTATTAAAATCAGATATTTAGCCATTATAACAATTTAAGCGACCGTGCTAGAACCACGGGATCCGTGGGTGCCTAACACCTTCCCTCGGGTCAACAGAATTCCTTACTTAGAATTTCTGGTTCGCATACTTCATTTGGAAAGTGAAAATTTTCTCGATTTGGGATTCAAGATAAACCGGTGACTTGGGACACCAAAAGCCAAACCTTTCCAAGTGGCGACTCTGAATTAAATAAATAATCCCATTTCGAATATTGTCACTTAAATTGAAAAAACTCCCTCTGCGCCCTTGCGGCGCGGGTGAAAAAGGAGGTGTAACACCCAATTGAATTATTGTTATGTCAGTTAAGCACAGAAGAATTATTTGTGGGCCCACTTAATATGTATAACGCTTTAGTAAAGAACGCTATATACATGTATAACATTTTAGTAAAGAACCCTATATATAGCGTTTTTTGAAAAAACGCTGTACTTTACTGGACAAACGGCAGTTAAAATATAGCATTTTTCAAAAAAAAAAAACGCTATACATATTTTGGTCACTAAGTCTTTTTTCTACATTTTTCGTTCTTTAAGTCCAAAAGAACCATTTTTTGGTTCCAGACTCACGTATAAGATCCTTTTTTATTTTGAATTAAAAAAAAGTCAAAGAATTTAAGTACTCCCTTGTCCAATTTATTTGATTTTAAGAGTCAAAGAATTTTTCTTTGACTATAATTTTTATATCTTTAAGTATTTTAAATTATTAATTATTTTGACTTAAAATAGTATTTTATGTACTTTTTAAATATGTAAATTTTATTTTAACAAATTTAAAGCTTTTATATTCGAATTCGAGGTCAAAATTAAGAAGTTTGAATCTAAAATTTAAATTGTATTAAATAAATTCGGACGGAAGGAGTAATTTCTTTGAACACTCCTCTCACTTAGTATCCTTCTTGTCTTCTCTAAGAACATGACCATTTTTATCAATAATATATCTTAATGTCAGATGGCCAATTGATATAAACAATTGTTAGCACAAAATCCAAATCACGCCTTAATTACGTAATTAAGTAACATCCTTAAGTATTCAAGCCTAACCCCAAAATTAGGCAAACACCACCTAGAGTCAACAAAAGAAAAAAAAACTAGCACCACAACCATTTAAGCAAAACCAGCAACTTTTTTTTTTCTTTTCTTTTTACCAAATAGAAATTACCTAAAAAAAATGTTTTTGGATCAAACATTTTATTTGAATATATATTGTATAAATGGAGCCTATAAAATAAGGGGGTGGTGTGGGTTGGTTTAAGTCATCAAAGTGTGCATGCTGTCCTGAAATCTCTCCCTTTCGCCAGCGAAGCATTCATCAATTTACAACCCAACATTTTTTAATATATTGTTTGTTTTTAGTGTTTTTATTATCAACATTTTCTTGTTTTAGATAGAGAAAAGATTCCCATTGTTCTAAGCTATAGAAGGAGTTTTTGACGGAGAGAACCAATTCCGTCGCCGTTTGCCGTCGCAGACAATGGTGGATATGGGTCTTTCCGGATCTGTACTTGCGGTGGTGTTTGGCTTCGTGGCAGTTTTGTGGTTTTTCATTCAGAGAAATGGTGGCCGCAAAGATAAAAATAATGACCCCGCCACCACCAGCACCACTACCACAACGGTGTATGATGGAGAATGCAGATCAAAGGACGCAAACGATGACGCTGACATCATCATCGTCGGTGCTGGCGTTGCCGGTGCCGCTCTTGCTCACACCCTTGGCAAAGTATATTTCTTTCTTTCTCATCCTTTATCAATTTATATGTACATCTTTTTTTTTTAACAAAAGAAACTAAATTGAGATTGAGGAGTAATTAGATTGATTGATTTATGTATCTGAAGAGCATAGTTGATGTGATTATTTATAAAAGACATGAAATTGATTTGTTAATTTGATGAAATCAGAGAAATGAAATATGACTTGATAATGGAAGCATTTGGTGTGAAGGAATAAAAACAATAATTTTTTACCCTACAAGTTATGAGAAGAAAAGGGACGGTTATAGCACATAGAATCAAGTTTTACTAGCTGGTGGTGACTGCAAATAGTAAATCTTTATCTATTAAAATTTGCTGTGAAATCATAGGCTAAATATTGAAAGGAAAGAGGAAAAAATGGGATCTTTTAATGAGACTTGTGATTATGCATTTTGCACTACAGGAGGGGCGTCATGTAAAAGTGATTGAAAGAGATTTGACAGAGCCTGATCGAATTGTTGGAGAACTCCTACAACCAGGTGGCTTCCTCAAATTGCAGGAGTTGGGTTTGGAAGGTAAAGCTTCCAAATAATGTGATTTATTGTCAATTTATTCTCTTGAGGTGAAAAAAGGAAGATGTCTTTGATTTTTAGCTTGTTCTATCCTTTTCTGTTGCATTTTCTCATATTTTTTTTATCTTGGCCTGTTGCAGATTGTGTGGAGAATATTGATGCTCAGCGAGTGTTCGGGTATGCTCTTTTCAAGGATGGCAAGAGCACTCGTCTTTCTTATCCCCTGGAGAAGTTTCATGCTGATGTATCTGGGAGGAGCTTTCACAATGGGCGTTTCATTCAAAGAATGAGAGAGAAAGCTGCATCTCTTCCCAAGTATGTTCCTTCTTACCATTTTTTCTTGATAGATATACCTCCTTTCTTAATTCAATGCTATAAGGTTTTACATCTTCAAACAATTTCCTGCTGAATATATGTAGAGGATTCAAATATCTGGCCTTACTAGTTTGGGATGAAGGCGTAATTGGTTTATTGAAACAGTTTCCTGTTGAAGTATCTCTGCTTAGATTGATTAAATGCTCTGCATGTTGGCTTTGATTTTTTAACAGTGTGAAACTGGAGCAAGGCACTGTTACGTCTCTGCTAGAAGAAAACGGGACCATTAGAGGTGTTCAGTACAAAAACAAATCTGGTGAAGAGTTGAAAGCCTATGCACCATTGACCATAGTGTGCGATGGTTGTTTCTCGAATCTACGGCGTACACTTTGTGACCCAAAGGTAAGGACACTAACCAATATTTCTCTTGGGTTTGTCTTTAAAAAAGAAGATGGCGCTGGGTGATTAATTGTTCAAAAAGCTAATTTGTGAAATCTTTTGCTGTTACTTGTTGGATGAATAAGAATTACTGCACCCAAGATTGTCCTAATGAACAAAAAATTTCTATGAACATCACCGTTGTTGTCCCCTCCTTTTGTTTCTCATCAACTCACAATGACAGGTCACGTTTTGTACAGGTAGAAGTGCCTTCTTGTTTTGTTGGTCTGGTCCTGGAGAACTGCCAGCTTCCACATGCAAACCATGGACATGTCATTTTGGCTGATCCATCACCTATCCTGTTCTACCCCATAAGCAGTACTGAGGTCCGTTGCCTTGTTGATGTACCTGGTCAAAAAGTGCCTTCTATTTCAAATGGTGAAATGGCCAAATATTTGAAAAGCGTCGTCGCTCCCCAGGTAAAGAATTGGTGAAAACTTTATCCTGAATGCCATACCATGTCATCATTGTATTATACATACTTGAGCTGCATGATGTTCAATGAGATGTCCACATGGTTGTTCTAGGTGCCTCCTGAGATAAAAGATGCATTCATTGCTGCAATTGATAAAGGGAACATCAGAACAATGCCAAACCGAAGCATGCCAGCTGCTCCTCATCCAACTCCTGGTGCTCTTCTCATGGGAGATGCATTCAACATGCGCCATCCCTTGACTGGTGGAGGAATGACTGTAGCATTGTCTGATATTGTTGTATTACGTGATCTTCTTAAACCTCTTCGTGATTTGAATGATGCACCTACTCTTTGTAGATATCTGGAGTCCTTTTACACCTTGCGTAAGGTAAATATCATTTTAAATGTTTCCTCCCATAAGCAGAAGATTTGGAGCTGGTACCTATTATCTACTTAAAGAATCCCTAGTGAGTTGACTAGATCTATGTTGACTAGTGAGTATCAAGGTTCTGGAACCCAAAAACTGATGTGCCTTTGATGATTTCACCAGCTATCAATCTACATATAACGGAAGTAATGCGAAAGGCTTGGTTCATTCTAGTGTTCTAGGATTTTCAACTCTTCTCAATTCTTCTATAACTTACCTATTCTCCTGCAGCAATATGTGAGACGTAACCTAGAATATTATTTGCCTTTATAGATATTGACTTATTCTGCTTGCATATTTTATCTGCAGCCGGTGGCATCTACCATCAATACATTGGCTGGTGCATTGTATAAGGTGTTTTGTGCTTCACCTGATCAAGCTAGGAAGGAGATGCGCGATGCATGCTTTGACTATTTGAGCCTTGGTGGAGTATTCTCCACAGGACCTGTATCTTTGCTTTCTGGCTTAAACCCTCGTCCATTAAGTCTCGTTTGTCACTTCTTTGCTGTGGCTATCTATGGTGTTGGCCGCTTGCTGCTGCCTTTCCCATCACCCAAACGTATGTGGATTGGAGCCCGGCTGATCTCGGTATGTGTTAATCTTGCTTTTTTGCATTCAATATTTGCTATCTTCACACGTTTTTGTGTGACCTCATATTTTGACCATTTCACGCGATTCAAACACAGGGTGCATCTGGAATTATTTTCCCTATCATCAAGGCAGAAGGAGTGAGGCAGATGTTCTTCCCCGCTACTGTTCCTGCATATTACAGGTCTCCTCCTGAAGTGAAATTGTAACTTCGAGAAACAGAATAAGGCTAATGCCTGTGTGCCACCTCCATCGGTATTCTGGTTGTGAGTGTCTTAAAGAGTTTAGTCCAACTGTTACATATTTTTTGATGCTAGTTTTTCTTTTCTTCCCTTCTCGTTTGTTCCCATGATTGATTGTATTATTAACTGGAAAGTAAATATGACTTATTCAATCATATATTGTCTCTTACTGTACGTTGATTTCTTTTTCCCTTTTTGTTTTTCCTTATATTTCTGCACTATGGGCTTAGGGTTGTGTTCACTTAATTTTGGGAGAAATTTAAAAATAGCCAGATTTAAAATTGGTCGTTCAAAAATAGTCAAGTTTCAAAAGTAATCGAAATTAAGCCACTTTCATGTAAAGATAAATCTGAGAGAAAACACTGTTCAAAACCCGGAAAATATGCAAGTATATTATATTGGAGTTCCAGCATGAGTATGCTTAAACTCCAACATATTATACTGGAGTTCCAGGATAAGTATGTTGGAACTCCAGCATAATATGATGGAGTTCCTGCATAAGTATACTAGAACTCCAGCATAATATACTGGAGTTCCAACAAGTATAATTGTCCAGTATAATATACTGGAGTTTGGAGCACAGACGCTTCAGTCTCCAGTATATTATACTGGAGTCAGCAAAGTATACCGGTCCAACATAATATGCTGGAGTTTATACACAGGTGCACCGAACTCCAGTATATTATACTGGAGTCAGCAAAGTATACCGGTCCAACATAATATGCTGGAGTTTATACACAGGTGCACCGAACTCCAGTATATTATGCTGGACCAGTCTCTGTTTCAGCAAAATAGTGGCTATTTTTCATCGACTTCGTAAATGCTGGCTATATTTGAATGACCAATCCGAAAACTGACTATATCGTGCTATTTTTACCTTAATTTTGCCAATTGTAAACCTCGTGCTCCAACAACAGCTGCGCGAATCACTAGCAAGTAAAAAGGTGTGAGGTTTAACACAATAATCGTATCTTAGGGTGTGTTTGATATAACGGAAAATGTTTTCTGTGGAAAATATTTTTCAAGAAAACAAAACAAGTAGTAATTTTATTCATTTTTCGGTGTTTGGTACGCAAATTAAAGAAAATGACTTCTCAAAAGTATTCATAAATAGTTTAGATATAATAAACATGAAGCCATAAACTTTCAAACCAACAATCTTCCGAACCCACAAATTTCATAAACTTTCGAACTGCTAAACTTTCAAAACCGCGAATTTCGAACCCGTAAATTTTATAATTTCTAAACCCGTAAACTTCCAAACACATAAACCTCCGAACTCATAATTTTGGAACTTGTAAAATTTTGAACCTTTAAAATGATAAATAAAAAGATTAAAACAGAAAA